GGAGAGTTATAGAACACACAGCCACTCAGGGTTGTTAAGGTTGAAATGAAACTGGTTCTTTCCATCCAGTCCTACATAGCCTCCAGGCACTGGGAAAACACAAGAGCTTCAATACACCACTTGGACAGCCTGAGGCACAAATGTGCAACTGAGTGGCATCAGCATACTGATGAAATTACATCCTATGCCAAACCATATGCAGTGCTTTCATATAGATATTAAATAGGACCCGGGAGCGAGTCAAGCCCTGTGGCAGCTGAAAAGCAGATGGCCTAAGGCTGGACCTTTCCCTCCTAGCAACCGCAACTGGAACTGAGGGAAGGAGAACCACTGTAACAGTGCCTCCTACCTCCCAGGATATCACAACTGATGGTATCAAAAACTACTGAAAGATCAAGGGCCAATATGGCTATATTATCCCCATCCCAAGTCCACCAGAGATAATCTGCAAACATGATCAATGCCATCTCAGTGCTATATATAGCCTGAACCCCAACTTCAATGAGTCCTGTTCCTCTAAATCCACTTCCTCCCAAGACATTTGAAGCTGTATCTCTACTACCTCCTCAGCAGCCTTGATTGGGAGTTGGCCAAAGTTGGTAAGAAGATAGGTGGCTATATAAATGTTTTAAATAAATAAATAAACCTTCCCTGTTTAGAGATTGGATGAAAATTGTCCAGTACACCTGAGTACAGTGATGCTTTCTTAATGAGGGGCAGACTACTACCTCCTTTAAGGCAGGTGGAACCATTGCCTCCCATAAGGAGACATTTATCTTCACTTGAGCCCAATTACATGTCACCTCTTGGGACGCTTTAACCAGCCAGATAGATCTAACACAAAGGTAGCATTCCATGGACCCGTCCACCTCTTTGGAAGTAATTGGATCAAACTCAGTCCAGATAACTGGACAGCACAACTCAAAGCAGGACAACTCCAAGTACATTCAAGCAACTTTATCCATTAGATGCTGAATGTAATTCTCACAATGAACCTGCAAAGGATCCTCCAACTCTACCTTATCCAAAAGAGAGTGAGTCACTTAAAACAGGGTCGTTGGTCAGTAATCTGCAGGCACAGTAAGGATGAAGAAATTAGCACATTTCACCACCCTTATTGCCACAAGGCACTTCTTATCTGTATTAAATCTTGCTCTTTGTCTTTGACTTTTCCTGTACATATTAATTCCAAAGCATGGTTTTTTTTCGCCATACCGACTATTGTAATCACAATTAGTGGAAATTTCTATCTTGTTAACCCAGTGTGAATTAGGGAGACAAGAAGAAAAGCAAGTGTCATCACAAAATATGTGGATTTAAGATGATATTTGCTGATGCAAATATTCAGTCTTCAAAACTACAAGACAGGAGTTAGACCAGATAATTTCAAAAATCTCTTCCAACCCTTAAACTCTATGATTCTATGACTTAAGGCATTCTCTTTCATGGGCCAGGGATGAGATGAAGACAATGACGTGGGGACAATAAAAAGACATCATAACAAGTTTGTGCCATGTTTAACTGCAAACAGGGAATAGGTCCTTAGAGACTCTGAGAAAGCAATCAGAAGCCCTACTATTGTTGTGTGCCACTCAGTCACCTTATAAATGTGATAAATAATTAAATCTGATTAGCTTCACTGTAAAGACAGGCTATTACCTTTTTTAACAGGATTGCAAAATGTCCTTGCTGATCAACAATTAGGTCATTTCTAGCTCTGAGATTAGAAGACAACCTGAAATCTACACCATAAAGAGGTACCAAAAGAAATCCCTGAATACTGTTTTCCTAGTATTCAGTTTTAGTGGTGAAATAAAGTGAAACAATATTTTGTGGATCTGGAGTGATGGAACTGGATTCCAAAGAATACTTGGGTCACATCCACTTTCACTTAAAAAAAACCAAGCATTGCTTAGCTCCACTTTTCCATGTTTCATCATGGCAGAATGCCAGGCCTAACATTAGGAAATATGAGGCTACCTGGCCCAGATGGGATAATCTGTGTATCACATGAAAGGGCAGCTACAATATTTTTGTTTTTACAGGTCACCTGACACAGGAGGAAAGAGAATCATCTAAAAGCCAAAATAAGGGAATATTAACTGTGCTGTCTTTACCCCCAGAACCTTAGCTGGCCTCTTCTCATACCCATTTCTATGCTGGCGACTAACACATTTCACATGTATGAAAGGAAATGGACCTGACAATTCCCTCTGGAGGGAAACACAACACGGGAATACAGTCTGAGGAAATAGGGCTACCAGGGATGAAGAGAACCAGGCTGTGCATAGTCAGTTCATGAGATTCTGGGATTTCTGTTTGCCCACCTACTTAACAACTGTCCCAATTTCATGATGGCAATTCTGAAGACATTGTTTTTGTTAAGTCATCTACCGGCAAATTAATAAAAATTCAGAAATATTTAAAAATAAGGAAATGAGAGAAGGAAGTGCTGGCCTCTCACTTTTTAAAAGCAAATCTGTTAAAGCAAAAAAAGAACATTTCCCTGTCTCTTCAGAATCTCCTTACCTGGTCAGCAGCACTCTGGTCATCTGTAATGTCAAACAGAACAGCCCGAGCTCCCCTCTCCCCTGCCAGTTTGGCCTGAAAAGAGAGGAAAGAGTTCAAGAGAATATATGTGAATAACTGCACTATCGTGACCGCGTAGCCCTTCTCATTCTTTGTTATCCACTTCAATTACTAGATTGGACATTTATTCTGTGGTCCCCATCTGTGGGAAAAGAAGGCCTTGTTTGTATTGAGTTACCTGTGTCTTTCATAATTGGAAAGCAAGCTACTGGACTGAGGAGACACACACTTCATAAAAAGTTGATTCTTCACTTCTAAACGATGCATTTATTTATCTACATATTCATTTACAGAAAACAATCCCAAATGGCCACAAAGAAGTGTGTGATTTGTAGTATAGGTAGTCCTTGACGTACGACCACAATTGAGTCCAAAATTTATGTTGCTAAGTAAGAAATTTATTAAGTGAGTTTTGCCCCATTTTATGACTTTTCTTGTCACATTTGTTAACTGAATCACTGCAGGTGTTAAATTAGTAATGCTGTTAAGTGAATCTGGCTTCCCCATTGACTTTGCTTGTCAGAAGGTTACAAAAAGTGATCACATGACCCCGGGACAATGCAACTGTCATAAATGTCAGTCAGTTTTCAAGCATCCAAATCTAAATCACATGATCATGGGGATAGTGCAATAGTCATAAGTGTGAAAAAGGATCATAAGTAATCTTTTTCATTGCTGTTGTAACTTTCAGCAGTCACTAAATGAACTGTTGTAAGTTGAGGACTACCTGTACTCAGTCGCAATGAAATTGGGGAGTTCTAAATGTCTTGGGATCCGTAAATTGTATTCCCAGCCCAGCCCAGTTGTTCAGATATCTAGAACATTCAAGCAGCAATTTCCCCCCCCTGAGCCTGGAAGATGTTCCCAGTAGATTGTGCCCTCTATGGGCCAAAGCAATGCACTGCCCCCTCTGCCATGCTGACGGACACGCATAATGGAACAACCATGTTTCCCAAAAGTAAGGCCTACCCCAAAAATAAGCCCTAGTTTTGGGGTGAGGCACACACCTACCCGTGTTTCCTCAAAAATAAGACCAGGTCTTTTTTTTTTTTTTTTTGGCCGCCAAAAGAGGCACCAGGTCTTATTTTCAGGGGATGTCTTACTCAACTCCGGCATCGACAGCCCCGCCCAGCAGGCCCAATTATTCTGGAGCCGAAGGAGCAGCTTCATTCTGCAGCTGCATTCCGGCTGTATTTTGCAGTCAGGCCTTTCCGCAAGGCCTATGGATTGAATCTATAGCTTGGTTCTCGGCTGCAGTGGCCTTCCGGAAAGGCCTGTGACTGAGAAATGCAGGCCTGACTGCAGAAGACACTGCAGAAGAAGTGGGCCGTCCTAGCTTGATTTTTAGGTGTTTGACTCGCCTCAAAAATCAAGCTAGGGCTTTTTTTTCAGGGTAGGCCTTATTTTCGGGAAAACATGGTAAAAATCAAGCTAGAGCGGGGATGTGGGTGTGGCGCTGCCCCACACGCCCCGCACCCACTTACCTTGCAGCCAGGCCTCTCCTCACCAGCCCACTTCTTCTGAGGTGTCTTCTGCAGCCATGCCTGCATTTCTCAGCCACAGGCCTTTCTGGAAGGCCACTGCAGCCAAGAACCGAGCTATGGATTCAATCCATAGCTTGGTACTCGGCTGCATAGGCCTTCCCGAAAGGCCTGACTGCAAAATGCAGGCCGGAATGCAGCTGCAGAATGAAGCTGCTCCTTCGGCCCCAGAAGAAGTGGGCTGGCTGGGCGGGGCTGTCGGTGCCGAAGTTGCCCCCAAAAATAAGACCTAGTGCCTCTTTTGGAGGAAAAAAAAAATAAGACCCACTCTTATTTTCAGGGAAACACGGGTAGACTGGGGCAACTCACTCCCTATAATATCTAATCTGAATCCTTGGTCAGTGCTTTCTGCTTGAAGAAGGAGTGATCCGGTACCTCCACTTTTTTAAAAATACAGGCATATATCAGCTGTCATATTATGTTTTTCTAAGCAGTGTACAACTTTAAAACAGCTTTTAGTCAGCTTAAAAATAAAACTGTAGCAATATATTAAAATATAGAAACCACATAAATCAGTGGTCATGAGCAGTGGAGCAATATCATGAGATGCAAATGTTAAAATGAGTCAGCCTGCTTTCAGAGTAGGTCCAGACTATAATTAGGACTAGGGATGGGCCACAACACTGGCACATTGAGACCTGCATTTTGGTTCAGTTCTTGACATCTCCCATTCAAGACTTTCTTAAAGTAGAACTGGAGGAAAGGTCTATTGCTCTGAAAGGATAGCCCCTCTCCAGCCTTTTATCTGCTGCAAAGCCGAGAATTACATCCAAATTCAAAAGTAACCAAAAAAGTGATTTGTGACTTGTGTGTGTGCATGCATGTGTGTGTATATGTAGCCTTCATAATGCACACACATACTGATTCCTGGTTTCAGCTCAAAAGACGACAATGCCGCAGCCGCCAACAAAAAGCAGGCCCGCTCTGGGTCAGCAAGGTGTGATCTTACTTCTCTTTGGAAAAACTCAGGAGCCATCCAGGACTTTGACTTTCCATTCCCCTCCTCTCCAGCCCAGCCCAGCCCTGCCCTACTTGGAGGAACAAAGCTCTCCACTGTTCCTGCCCCACACTGAAAGCAGCCCTGCCACCCAAACACTGCAGTGCACACGCCTGCTCCCACTTCTCCCTGGTCTACCTTAAATTCCCTTCCCCACCCCTTCCGCCCTAGCTAGCTGGCTCACCTGCTTCCCTCCCCCACATCCTATTGGCACTGGATACCTGCCAGGCCAAGCAGGCCCCAAAGCCACCCGCTGGCTCTGCTTCAAAGCCTAGGATGTGAACCGCAGCCCTGCCTCACCAAAGCCTGAGGCTGTATGAGCCATTCAGCAGGGGCTTTTCGCCAGTTCTAAGCTTTGAGCTTTAGTGCGGGCAGCCTTCAGGCAGGCACATGAAAAAGGCAAACAAAGGGGCAGTGGGCACTGCCAGGCTCAGCCTCTCCCTGAAACAGGAATTTGGGAATTAGTCCCTCAGAAGACCTAACCTGTCCTTTAAGATCTGATAGTTAGAGGTGAGCAAAGGACACAGGCAAACACTTGAAAGAACTGTTTCCTTATCGCTCTTAAGATCTAAGGTTGAGCCCTAGCATGTTCTATAATTAACATATCCATGGGGAAAGCAATACTATCATCAGGGCACTCTGTTTATGGTCAAAGACTTAAATGAAGCAGGCACAGTTCATGTATGCTCAAAATATAAAGGGGATAGGCATATTCTCCAAGTGCATTAAGAGCACCTACCTACAGGTAGTCCTCAACTTATGACCACAATTGAGTCCACAATTTCTGTTGTTAAGTGAGACATTTGTTAAGTGAGTTTTGCCCCATTTTATGACCGTTCTTGCCACAGTTGTTAAGTGAATCATTGCAGTTGATAAGGTAGTAACCCGGATGTTAAGTGGATCTGGCTTCCCCATTGACTTTGCTTGTCAAAAGGTTGCAAAAACTGATCACCTGACCTTGAGACACAGCAACGTTCGTAAGTATCAACCAGTTGCCAAGCATCTGAATTTTGATCACATGATCATGGGGATGCTACAAAGGTTGCAACTGTGAAAAATGGTCATAAGTCACTTTTTTCAGTGCCATTGTAACGGTCACTAAATGAACTGTTGTAAGTTGAGGATTACCTGTATTTAAGTCAACTGGATGGTCTAAACAGAGAACTCTCTGCATTTTTCTTCCTTAAAGGATATACACTGACTCTCCTTTCTCCTTTCCCCTAGTATACAGACAGAGAAGTTTAACGCTGCCCTGATGATGGAATGGGTGGGTTTGGGCAGTAAGGCCAAAGCATAGGAGCTCAGCCTTTTTGTGAAGAAATGCTGGCAGAGTGGGCCTCTCCTTAGCCAAGCTAAGCCAATAGTGACTTCTTGGCTCTTTTTATTTCCTCTTTCCCTTCTCTGTAAATTCATCCCACCCCCATTTATAATTATACACAAGAACTGCAAGACTAACTTCTTCCATGTCTGCTGGAGTCAAGATTGCCAATATCTTTCCCTCCTTCCTTACCCAATTCTCAGAAACTCACTGGCTATCAGGATTGATCCAATGCCAGAAAATGTGCCTTTGACGATTTTGCAACCTGTTCTCTTGAAAGGTGACACTTTTCAAGTTGGTATAAAAGCTGTGTGGTATCCAAAATCATGACTCCAAAAACCCTTACAATGTTGCTCAGAATTCAGAGATTTGTCACTTGATAATTGGGGTAGTAAAACAGTCTCTGCTGCCCTTCATCTGGTTCCTTACATTACACTAGGAAGTGGGTAACCTTTGGGCTACAAAACGCCCCCAGGCCCATCTATGGTCCCAAATTCCACAAAATCTTATGCAATGGTCAACAACCAAATCACAGGAGGACATGTTGTTTTGCAAAAACAGGAAATTGAATAGGTGAATTAAGAATCCAATAAGCTTAATAAACCCAACCCCAAAATTTAGGAAAATAGGGATTGAACACTGTAGCCCTAAACTTTCTTGTGACATTTGTATGTTTCTCTCTTGCAAATGCCAAGAGCAAAGACAAAGGCCCTCAGCTACAGTCTTATCTGCAATCCATTTCTTGACTGTTTATAATCAGTGTTTCTCAACCTTGACAATTTTAAGGCATGTGGACTTCAACTCCCAGAATTCCACAGCCAGCAATGCTGGCTGTGGAATTCTGGGAGTTGAAGTCCACATGCCTTAAAATTGTCAAGGTTGAGAAACACTGGTTTATATGCTGGCCTCTATAATATACATGGTTATTTAAACAGGCCAGGTTTAAATTTAAATAGGTGGTCCTTGACTTACGACCATAATTGAGCCCAAATTTCTGTTGCTAAGCGAAACAGTTAAGTGAGTTGTGCTCCATTTTATGATCTTTCTTGCCACAGTTGTTAAGTGAGTTATAGCAATTGTTAAGTTAGTAACATGGTTGTTAAGTGAATCTGGCTTTCCCATTGATTTTGCTGGTCAGAAGGTCACAAAAGGTGATCACATGACCCCAAGACACTGCAACCATCATAAATATGAGTCAGTTGCCAAGTGTCTGAATTTTGATCATATGACCATGGGACTGTTGCAACAGTCATCAGTGTAAAAACCAGTCATGTCACTTTTTTCAGTGCTGTTATAACTTTGGTCACTAAATGAACTGTAGTAAGTCGAGGACTAGCTATACCAGTGGTGGTGAACCTATGGCATGCATACCAGAGGTGGCACTCGGAGCCCTCTCTGTGGGCACGCGCGCTGTCGCCCCAGCCCCGCCTCTCTTCATGGCCTCCTCCTCACCAGCAGCCCCCCTGGAGGAGAGTCGCCCCCAGGTGCGGCCGCATGGAGCAGCGCAGCCAAGGACATAGCCGGGCAACAGGGACAAAACTCTGCCCTTGCACCCCAAAGTGTGCAGATGATGCTGCGGGGTGTGGGCAGAGGGTGTGGCTGCCATGGCGCTGCACGGCTGCCTGGGCGATCTGCTGCGACGGGCCATGGATGCGGTGCATGGCCCTGCAGGCGGGTGGGGCAGGGGGCGGGCGTGGGCAGAGCAGGCAGGGCGGGAAGCGGAGCGGGGGTGGGGGTGGTTTTTGGGCACTCGGTCTCTAAAAGGTTCGCCATCACTGAGCTATACTATTACATTTGTAACTCCTCTATTGTTCATGCAATTTAAGAAAGCTTAGAACAAGTCCCTAGAATTGATCTGAACATGTTCATCAGAACTTTATCTATGATACCCAGACTACATATAACCTTCTAAGGCTTTGTATGCTGTTTTCCCAAAATCTGTCATTAAATTATATGATAGAAGAGGGAAATACTAAATATCTGAGCTGTATATGCTTTAAAAATGATTTAGAGGAAGAGATTCACACCTCACATGAACACAGTAACCTTCTGCTACGCATTAAAGTGTATGTGATCTTCAGGTTTTCTGAAAGATGCTGATGTTTTAAGGAGTCAAATCAAACCAATGTACATTTAATGAAACCTTCAAAGCAGTGGCATTTTTTTCAGGTTTCAGGCCTTGAAAAGTGATGTGTGAGCTTTAATGAACAAAAGAGAAGAGCTGCCCTTGCAAATTATTTTTGAAGCATACAATGCTAACCCTAATCATAAACCTAAATGTATAGTATGAAATCTAATTAACTCTAATTAAGATATATTTAAATTAAGTTCAATGCCATTTCTATCTTGTTTTGAAGTGCAGGCACCAGCACACCACTCAAAGGGCAAGTTCAAATTTACACACACACACACACCCGTCTGCACATCCCTGCTATTAATGTACTTTTGGAGTACAACTTTGCACTATTACTCTCCATGTTTGCTCCACTGAAGTAACTGGGTCCTCCCTCCCCCACCCCAAAAGAAAAACCACTAGCAAGAGTCTTTTTTCCTGGATGAGATCAAATATCCATTTAGCCTGATGCTGGTCAGTTAGAATCTCTTCAAACTAGGCAGGAAAATTAAAAAATGTCCTTTCCAAAGGCCTGAGGCCCTGGGATTTGAAGTCAGGCCTTTGGAGTATATCAGTACTCCTCGTCCTTGACAATTTTAAGAGGCGTGGACTTCAACTCCCAGAATTCCTAATGGCTAGGGAATTCTGAAAGTTGGGAGTCCCTGTCTCTTAAAAGTTGCCAAGGCTGAGAAACACCGGAGTTGATTGTGAGTCCCTTTGAGTATTGAGGGTACTGAGTATTGAGCCACTAGCTATTTCTGTATAGTCCCTAGCACAGTGTTTCTCAACCTTGATAATTTTAAGGCATGTGGACTTCAACTCCCAGAATTCCACAGCCAGCATTGGTGGCTGTGGAATTCTGGGAGTTGAAGTCCACATGCCTTAAAATTGTCAAGGTTGAGAAACACTGCCTAGCACCTCTAGAACTGAAGAATCACAGTTGTGGACAATTGTGGCATGGAAATGGTTAACATCTACCTCTTTTGGAAGGAAGGAAAAGAGGAAGTCTGATGAGCAAAGTGCAGAGGCTGGAACACTCTCAGCAGCTGCCTTTGATCTCAGCGTCCTTGGAAAGCGTGTGTGAGCAGGTATCCGCCAGAATTGCTCCAGCAGGCTGGCTTCGCAATTGCCAAGCCTGCCTTGAACAGGGAGGTCAGAGGTTAGCAGTACAACTTCTCAGCTGTAAGATCAAAGGCACTGCAGATCTCAGGCTCCAGGGTTGCCCTGGGAGGTTGGGAACTGAGAAAGTTTAATTTTTCCTGTAAAGGTGCTCTCAAACTGGGAAACTGGTTACGCTTTCTTTAAACCTTTCCAGCATTTACATGTGCATGCACATTTGGGATGAATTCATTTCACCCTGCAAGGTCCCTTCCAACTCTGTTATTCTAATTCTAATTCTGATTTATCCTAACAGAATCTAAAAGACCAAATGATAAAAAAATCTTAATGGTCAGCAGTCGCCTTGCCTTAAAAAATTATACTAATCCAAAAAATGTGGGCCTTACAGCACTTCAGATTCTACAAAGCTTTTTAAGAATCTTTGGTCTGAGAGATGAATTCACTAAAAGAAATGTAGCTCTCATTTTCAAAGCAAAGAGCACTGTACAAATTTGCTCATTTCCTGAATATGGAGTCTAAAGAATATAGCAGAAATTGCATATGAAGTCATGTTTAACAGGGATGACTAGCAAAGAGTCCCATTTGTTCTGTCGAAGCCAGTCAGCAGTTCTAAGTTGAGTTCAAGACACAGGCTAATCAGTATTTCTCCCCTCCTACCCAATCTCATTTAGGAAATCCAGTATTCCCTTGTATCATGCTGAGTATTTTGGGGAAGCAATAATTGATAGAAAATCACATTTCTACAACCAAATTTAACAATAACTTTTTTTATTCTGTTCAATTGTGTCCAGTTTTTTGGAAACAGTCAGAAAAAGTCCCTGCAGTTTTTATGGCAAGGTTTTTCAGAAGTGGTTTTCCATTGCCTCCTTTCTAGAGCTAAGAGAAAGTGACTAGCCCAACATTATCCAGCTGGCTTTGTGCCCAGGAAGGATTAGAACTCATAATCTCCTGGTTTCTAGTCAGATGCTTTAACCTCTATTTATCAAACTGCCTCTCTTTGCATTAAGTTAAAATAAGGTAAATGCATTTCTGGCAGATGGATTGATAAATGGATAGGCAAGTAGGTGACAGAAAGCCAGACACACATGGAAATCTGACAGATGCACACATTTATTGTGTATACGGAATCTTTAAATACCATTTCCCAAAGGCTCTCCTCCTCCAGTGTCTTTCCCAATAGAAAGGTGAGGCCCAGCACTAACATCTCAACTGAGATGATCTGGAATGGCAATTTCTGAAATGTCTTGTTCATGCTTCATCTTTCCCAATGGAAAAGAGTGTAAGGAAAAGAAATTAGAGTGTATGAGAGACTGTAACTATGTCCATTTAGTTTGGGCCTTGCCTATTTGAATGTAAAGACACTTGGGAGCTTAATTTTCAATCTAATCAACCAAGGAGCTGATCAAAAAACTTTCTGAAGAAGTTATTAAGTCTATTCTGAGCACATATACCTTATTGGCCAATGACAGGCATGGCCGGAGATCCCGCTCAGGCCTTTCCAGTTTGACAATGGAGACAAATCCTGGGACTGTATGTTCATCCTCGCTGGTATTACACAAAGACAGGGGATGGAACTGGAAAGAGAAAGGAAGGAAAGTTACTACTGATAGGACAATCATAGAATCATAGGGCTGGAAGGGACCTCAGAGGTCTTCTAGTCCAACTCTCTGCTTAAAGCACGAGCCTTATACTATCCCAATTAAATGGCTGTCCAGTCTGTTCTTGAAAACATCCAGTGATTGAGCACCCACAACCCCAGGAGGCAAGTTTTCCATTGATTAATTGCTCTCACTGTCAGAAAATTTCCCCTTTCTTCTAGGTTGAATTTCTTCGATAAGCTTCCACCTATTGCTTCTTGTCCTGCCCTCTGGTGTCCTAGAGAATAAATCAATCCTCTCTTCTTTGTGACAGTCCCTTAAGTACTAGAAGACAGCTATCATAAGAGCTGTGGTGGGGCAGTGTTTAGAGTGTAGTACTGCAGGTTACTTCAGCTGACTGCCAGCTGCCAGCAGTTCGGCAGTTCAATTTTCACTGGCTCAAGGTTGACTCAGCCTTCCATCCTTCCGAGGTGGGTAAAATGAGGAGCCAGATTGTTGAGACCAATATGCTGACTCTGTAAACCGCTTAGAGAGGGCTGTAAAGTATTGTGAAGCGGTATATAAGTCTAAATGCTATTGCTATTGCTATTATGTCTTCCCTAATCCTTCTCTTCAATTGGCTAGGCATATCTAGCTCCCTCAGCTGTTTGCCATACAATTTAGCCTACAGACCCTTTTATCATTTTTGTTGGCTTACATTGTAATACAGAAGATAGACACTGCATTATTGAGGAGGGACTGTGGATCAACACTTGATGAGCAACTGAGCTGCAGGGTAAAATGCTACAGAAACTTTTGTCAGTTTCAGATAAATATTTACATTTTTTCATTATTGAGCTTAGGCATTCTTCCATTTCTTAGACACAAGCTTAATGAAAATGTTAAAATATCTTCTGGATGACCTAAATGGCATATCTAACTCATAATCCAGCATAATTCACAATCTGTCCAAATGATGATTTTCAGGCAAAATTGCATTACAGTTCAGTTATCATTATGCTTGTTGGGAATTACGAGGATCTGTAGACTCAATACACCCAATGAGCATAGATTACAAGAAGATGCTCTGCAGTGACCAGTCAAGATATATGACCAAGAGGTAAAAGATAGATACACTGTGCTCTACATACAATTACCCTTGAAGAACCTTTAGTAGCTGCCAGTAGTACAAACATTCTGCTGAATTATTTGTTAATATAGTAGAAAGTTTCCAGGAATCCATGGGACTTTTCTTCTTTCATTGTACCACTAGTCAGTTTGCTTCTTAACCCAGTTGAAGTTTATCTAGCAAAGATCCTGGTTAAAATTGGGTATGAATTAGTCACGTACAAGGACACGGTATCTAGATCACTTATCTAGATTTAAATCTTAGCTTTCTTAGCAAGTCCCACTTTTAAAGAGTATACCTTCATAATTAATTTGTTAAAAATGCTAAGGAAAACAAACAGGACTAAAAGAAGGAACCATTCCTGTTTAGAATGGAAAGCTGGCAGCAAGGAAAGGATTATTCTTGCAAGATTACAGTTGCTCCATAAACACAGAGAGGTGTTTCCTTTGAATTCAAAATGCCCTGAAGCTTTGTTCATGCGATCTTGAATCACACAAACATATATAAATACAACATACATACATATAAGTGTAGGAAAAATAATTAATTTACTTTCATTCACAAGAACTGCCTTTTGGAATTTTAATGGAAGACAGTTCCATAAAAAACATACAGAGACTTGCTGAATCAAAGCAATGTTCACCAGCATTCCAAGTCATTCAGTGGCTGGTCAAATTGATTTAGGAAGCATACAGTATAAGGATACACCCTTTCCCACTTTTTGGTCCTATTTCCAGTTCTACAATGCTTTTTAAAGTATGGTAGGGATTTCACTTGCACTCAGATTGTTAGGAGCTGGCAAGTTTTTCCACAGGGCCAGAGCTGTTACCATTGTGGGCATCAAATGGAGGAATTGCTTAGAATCTGGCCAGAGAGAGAAAGAGAGAGTATTTTATTGGGAAGTTGCTCCATCTTCAATGCCACTTGGTTGCTTCCAAAGGGTGTGGGCTACTTAAAAATTGCCATGCCTAATGGCTGGGATGGAGATGGGGATAGAATGTCCCAATCACAAAACTGAGCTTAAAAAAATAAAAATAAAGGTAGTAATTGATCAGTCCACTTCAAGTGAAGTGAAATTACTTTAAGAAAACCTTTGCAACTGGATGATCAAGGGCAATTAAACAACAACAAAAAATGACCGTCTACTGGAGTCTGGAAGGGTTTGTTCTGTCAACTGGCGTCAACCCTTATTCAGCTGGTCAGGGGAAAGGCTTATGGCTAATGTAATGCCTGTTCTTCTGGGGAAAGAATGGCCATCTGCGCTGTTGCATCTGTTGTCTGATAGACCAAAGGTGAGCTCACACCTGCTGCTAGCTTTGGCAAAGGATCAAGGGAGAATTTCATTGAAAGTCTGATAGCATCTCTCCCCCCCTCACACACACACTGGTTAAAAGAAAGCTGGCACGCCTGTTTAACACAGCAGCTTCTCTGTGTGGGGCCAACAGTATGTCTGATGGATCAAAGGAAGGAGTGCTGCATCTCAAAGATATGGTTCTTCACCTCCTAGCCATCATGGTATATGGTTCACTATGGTATATGCAAACTCTTTGCTGCTGCATTTCCAGAAATCTTCATCACTGCATATGTAATTCCATTCAAAATTTTAGAGAGACTGTGGCTATTTAGAGTTGAGGGATCTGTGGTTCTGCAGATGCTATTGAATTACAACTACAATTCTTCACCATCAGCAGTTTAGGCTACTAGTAATTCAGAGAAATCTGGAAGGCTATAGGTTCTTATCTTTTGCTGCAGTTATTTTAATGTACAACACACATGTGGACATTAACTCTCAGAATACAGGAGGAAATGTCTCTTCTCTCTCAGCACTGATGCCATATACTAGATAAAATTAGATTCTGGATTTAATAATCTAACTAAGCAGACCCTAGATTACTAGTCCAGAATCCTGCCCTAAATGCACACCCATTGCTGATGTATAAGGTTATCATCAGAGGCTAGGAAACTTTATGCCACAGAGACCGCCGTTTTCGTGCCCTCACCGTTGCCAAGGTGTATTTTGAACTCCTAATAACCTACCGTGGGACAATGAGACTTTGTAGCCTATATTTAATGAGAAAAACAAACACCCTCCTGACTTCTGCATTACTGGAAGGCAGGGTAAAAGATAGGTGTTTTTTTTTTTTTTAAAATAAGTGATTGCAATATAAAGCAACCAGAAGACAGAAAAGCAGAAAGGACAGAAATTCAGTGGGAAAGCATGTGTGATTTCCCCATAATTAGAGACATCTAACTAAGGGGGCTGCGAGTGGCAATTACTCAGACTGAAACAAAACATATTTGTCTAGAAGAGGGAAACAATCTGACCAGGTGGAAGACATGCAAATAGTTGGTGAAGGAAGGTTGGGCAGCTTCCCCAGCTTAGTGCTACCTTAGTATTGTTGGAAGAAAGGATGAACCACAATGAAGACCTTTCTTCCAACAGTATATTGCAACCTTGCCCTCGACTTCACTGGTGAAATACTGTATGGGTGCTCTACCACATACTGATGACTTCCCCATTCTAATTTTCAAAAGTTTTAGGACTGAGACTTTCAGAATTTCCAGCCAGATGCTGTCCCAATTGATCCAACATGCTTAGCTTGGATGCGGAATAAAATCCATTTTCTGTGCTTCCCCAGTACACTGCACCACAAATTAGAGCAAACATTCTGGGCTCCCACAACACACCAAACCTGGATGCAGCATAACCAGGATTAGCGAGCTGCGGAAACAAAGCAGGGTGTGTTCATCTCTAACCTTTTTAAGCATGTCGTGTGAACACAACCATCGAGGGGGCGCTAGGCTCGAGAAGCCCGCTCCACCCCGCTGGCCCCTTGAAAGCCGGAGGCTCAACCGAGCTGTCCGGGCCGGGCGAACCGAGGGCTCAGAAAAAGGCCACGAAAGACACGCTCCCGGCGGTGGGGAGGGCGGCGGCCCTCGTGGATTTCGACCACGTGCGAAGCAAAGGAAACCTGCTCCGTTCGCTCTAGCTCGGTAGGTTTCAAGGTCAGCCCTTCGCAGCGAGGCCCTTTGTCTGGGGCTGGCCGGGCTTGCCCGTGTCCCGCGCGGTTTGCCCGCAGGCCCTCGCCTCCAACTTTCGCCACAGCCAGCGGGAGCGGCCAGCAGGGCCTCCGAGGCTGCCTGTGGCGCGGCGAGATGAAAGGCGGGCCGCTAATGTAAGAGCCGGTGGCCTCCCCAGTGCCGTTTGAACTGTTTACAGATCGAGTTAACTATTACAGGCCGTGTGTATCTTGGCCGCCTGCCCGAATTCTTCCGCGCCCGTCAGATATTATTAAACAACCCTTTCGATGCTCGCCTGGAGTTCTTCCAACACACCTCAGAGAGCTGCCGACACTCCAGGCGGAGCCTTTGGTTGGCACTCTTGTTCCCGAGGCCCAAACAAGAATCATGGTCTCGGCCCCGGGGAGGCGGGGAGGGGGATTTGGCTGGCTCGCGGCGGCGAGTCAAAGGGAGAAGAAAACAGGGAGGGTCAGGCTTGGTAGGCACGGAAAAAGCCTCAGGTTGGGCATAGAGCAGGGGTAGTCAACCTTGGCTCTTTTATGACTCGTGGACTTCAATTCCCAGAATTCCTGAGCCAGCACAGCTGGCTCAGGAATTCTGGGAGTTGAAGTCCACGAGTCATAAAAGAGCCAAGGTTGACTACCCCTGGCATAGAGCCTAAGAGCACCCCTCACCTCAGCTCCCTGGGCAAGGTAGTGCAGTGTTAAACCTCCGGCCCCGCATCTGCAGGGGACTGTAGAGTTGAATGCGTGATTCTGGGCCGCCCATTGTGTCTCTGGGCCGCTCATTGTGCCCAGGCTATTTCCTGGGAGGAAAAGGGAGAGTCTCCTATGGAAGCCATGTTGAG